TAGACACATAACACAAATATATTACAATTGAATACATCAAAATTCTCATGAACATTATAACTTTCATGAAAAAAAAAAAAAAAAACTAATCAATTGCTAAGAAAAATGTCAAATCTTCTTATTTTGAATTGCGATTTACTTTTACAGTTATTTTATAAGCATATTTTTATGCCAAATACTTCTCATGATTGGAGATTAAGAAAAAAATGTTATAAAAGTATTTTTCTCTTTTTTGCAACTGATACAATCCAATCAGAATCTATGTTGCACGGACTCTTCAAAAATGTCACCATGTGCGTATCAAATTCATCAAAAGTAGTGTATTTTTAGAGATTATGACACGGGTGCGGCATCAAAAGTGAAGAGTCCGCGCAGCAGCTAAGACCAAAACTTTTGTTAAGTTAACAAACAAAACAACAAAGTATTTTTTATAGAGATTTCAATAAAATCTGTAGTAAGTTGTTTTTTCGCCCAACTCTATCTTTATGACCTTGAAAGAATACACTTAAAATAACTACTATAGTAAGTTGCATATTACCTGACTTAATTCAGCTTTTGTCTTCCTCAAACCATCTACTTAAGTTAGATGTGCTTAACAGAAAAGAAGCATTTGCAACAACACAAAGATAGCTAACTTCTCAAACTAATACATTAATCTACTTCAACTGATTGTTTTAATAAACTATAAGTTGACATCAATTCTAAAGCAGGAAAAAATATATTTAATCGATCACCCAAAGCAATGAATCTGCAAGTGTGAAACGGATGGAAGTAAATAAGAAGAACAATTAATTGATCTTACTTCAGAGTTGCCTCAGCACTTTCAACAGTAACTTGGTAGTCAGTGGCATCACAGTTCAATGTTAATACTTTGTATCCAACTCTAGATAAGGATATATTAGCTGCCACGACATGATCGATGACCCTAGAAGCATAATAACAAAGAGAAAGAAAAATTGGCAAAACAAAATTAAGAGATATATTCAAAACTCAAGATGCATGTATTGACAGTATTGTTGCACTTGACCATAACCATGACCAACGGTGACGATATGATGGTGAATAGAGAAGGATGGATAGGTTGAATGGAGGTCGGGAAAAGGGTTAAGGGGAAGTAAAAGGGGTGGATTTAAGACACATATTAGAAATGCGGCAAATGATAGTGCTACTTAGTTTGATCAGATATTAATTACTCTTAAAGAGTTTTAGTAAGTCAATAAGTCCATATATATATGAAATGGTAAGCTCATGATCATGACCTAATTGTTAATAGAGGACAAATCTAGACCATTTTGCGTAGTTCTAAGGCAAAGTAGGTCAATTTTGCAATATACAAGAAAGTAATGTTCATTAAAGGAAAAAAGAAGTGGACAAACCTTCATCAAATAATGCCAAAGACTTCTCCTCGTGCCACTGTTCTTGAGGCAAAAGCTCAATTGTTACTATATCACCATCAAAAGCCATATTCATGTTTGCACGTCCAAACATAATTAGATCTCATCATCAATGCTTTCACTTTTAAACTAAGCTTTGAATGGAGACGTGAGGTCACAATTCTCTCCATCTGTATAGTTACGTTGATTAAGCAAAAATTTGTGAGAATTTCCTCTATTTATTCATGTTGAAATGAATAGAAGTGTAGATAGTTTAATTACCTAGTATTTGATCTATTCAAATAGAAGAAGGTTATTTCAACCACCAAATTTCTACTTGGATTTGTACCCCCATATCATGAAATTAAGATCATGAAGTATCCGACCTCTATATACACATCGATTTCGAACACCCTCACCCAAATCCGACCAACTTATAAGGTTGAAAGCAAAAGATTTCTGCCCTAATGTATCTTGCAGACTACAGCGAAAACTTTGCATTTCTTTGAAGTTTAAAGTACAGAGTAAACAACACAAAATCATGTAGTACAGATATAAGCTACCAACATTATCAAGTTAAAATCTTGATTAGAAAAGAAAATGACTTCTCAGAGTTTCTTTAACAAGAAACTTACACATTTCACAATGCTCAACCTCCTATCTTCAGCACCAATTTCTTGCTGATACATGACTCCGGCTTGGAATGTCTCACATGCATTCTCAAAAAGCAAAATTTGAAACTAAAACAGTCCTACATGCATGACTATATAGGACTAAAACCATTCACCAAATAATTGAAATTTGAAAGAATACTTTTTCTGAAATAGAAACATAATTCATTTACTGCAGATTCTAGGTATTTCCTGCAAGTAACAATGCTACACAAGCAACTATAGGAATTAAGAAAAACATATTTTCTTAAAAATCCAAAATACTTCAAGTAAATCTCATACATGTGATTAGTTTTCCTTGGTAAGGTCAGATGTCAAGATCTCAAACTTCCTTCGACATTAATATGGTCAATTTTTATCAACCTCTACATGTCTCTTTCATTTTTACAATTTAGAGGCAAGTTTTATCCACTCTGTTAGTATCCTCTTTTTATCATGTTCTTATATCAGTCAGTGATTTTGTGACACATAGATGCAATTCTAAGCCAATAGGTAGAACATAAAAATTACAAATATTAGCCTTCGTGTACCTTCCCTCTCGATCAACTTACCAAAATAAATAACAAAAAGGTTGTGGATTCAAGTTGTTAAGAAATTTTCAGGTTTACTCCGGATATGTATCAAGCCATTGACGATAACGTGATCCTTTCATTCTCAATTCGCTGTGAATAAGGCAGAGATCAAGGATCCACCAGCCAGCCTTCTGTAAGAATTATTATTAATTATTTCTTACTTATGGCCCAAGTTTACTTGTAATCCAATTAATACCATAAATACTCCCTCCGTCCACAATTATTTGGCAGGTATACTAAAAATAGATGTCCAAGATTAATTGTCAATTTAAACAATTAATTACTTTTTTCCAATTCTGCCCTTAATGATAGTGTAGTTCAATTGAAAAGTTATGTAGACTTTTGGTATTCTTGGTATAATAGGGTGATATTAGTCAAATTATATCTTCTATTAAATTTTCCTTGAGGGGTGTGCATGACCTTACCCTGACAAACAATTGTGGACGGAGGGAGTAATATTTAATAAGGAATAGATCTCGTCCGTACATCGGTTACTTGATGGACGTACCAGATTAAGTCATAATCTCTATAAATTGGTCCTCCCTCCACCCATTAGGGTTACCACATATTCTCTACAATAATTTCATCGATGACGGTTGTGGTAACATAAAGTTAGAGCAAGGAGGTAGAAACCAATTTACGACTAACGCCTCCGCTTCTCTCTGTGATGATATCTTCCGCATCAGGTATGTGCCCCTAACAATCTCTATGTAAGATTATCGTGTTCAAAATCCTGAAAGTATTTATTCTTACATGTGGTATCAGAGTCTGGATTGTTTGAACGGATAATCTTCGTATATCTTCTGCAACTAATTCAAATAAGAAAAAAAATAAAATAATAATAATATATATATATCACGGGCATCAGCCGACTATTTGTTATTGCGTCTAAACATCATATTAGATGTGACTGCGTAATATAATATGTCAATTAAAGTTTTTTTATTAAAAAATAAATAAAAATTAACACTACTTTAACCGTGTTTAACTAAAGTTGAGCAGTTTGTATGCCTTAATTTCTTTTTAGTCAATCAGTTTGGTTTGACTAATTTAAATACTATTGAATATTCTATATATTAGATATATTTGGTCAAAGTTCATGTACAATGCCATCTTGATCGTTTAATGAATATATTGTGGCTACCATCTATAGTTTGACAAATTAAAATTATGTTTAAACTTATTGTTAAATTCAATTGTAGTAGCGTAATTTTGTGCTTGACTATTTAAAGCGTTTGGACTCTTATTTTAATCTTTCTATAATGTAATAATTATGTTTTGTTTTAGATTGTGCAATAAATTAAAGTGATCGTTATACTGAGCAATAAATAATATGTGTACTTAGTGCACTATAGTTTGTTAGTCACCAAAGTGGTCAAACTACAGAAATTAATGTTTACATATATAATATTTATGATCACTTGACATATGTGGATTAGTACAATTCATTATTTATTGGCATATTCAGTATTCCAGGAAAGACTGGGTCTGATTTTTCAACCTGATGCATGTATTATGTTTCTATAGTTTGTTAGTCACCAAAGTGGCCAAACTAAAATGTATAAAATTATTCACATGTACAAAATTTTATGATATTATGTGTGCTTTGTATTTATATAGTTTGTTAGTCACCAAAGTGGCCAAACTAAAGAAATTAACGTATACACATAACATGTTTATGATCACTTGATGCATGCATTATGTTTCTATAGTTTGTTAGTCACCAAAGTGGCCAAACTAGAGAAATTAACGTCTACACTTATCATGTTTATGATCATTTGATGCATGTATTATGTTTCTATAGTTTGTTAGTCACCAAAGTGGCCAAACTAGAGAAATTAACGTCTACACTTATCATGTTTATGATCATTTGATGCATATATTATGTTTCTATAGTTTGCTAGTCACCAAATTGGCCAAACTAAAATGTTTAAAATTATTCACATGCACAAAATTTTATGAGATTATGTATGCATTCGTATTCATATAGCTTGTTAGTCACCAAAGTGGCCAAACTAGTATGGTTAAGAAAAAAAATGCATTCATAAAATTGTCATTTGTCTATGAAGATTAGTTAAATGCCTATATTGAAAAATAAATAGATAAATTGACGTTCACTATTGCTAGAACTTAAGAATTTGCCCAAAGGTGAATCTATCATTCTACTAATAGTGAAAATTATGAGGTAAATTAATATCTTTTAATCAAACATATATTGTATATCCAAAGATGTCGTATATGTTTGATTAAAAAATATTCAATTACCTATTAAAGATAAAATTGGCATTTAAATTATGATAATGTGTCGTAATATCTACCCAAATGAGAATTACGATATATTTTTATCGCTTTACTAAATTCACATTATTTTCTGGTTTGTGAGCATGTATATCTATTTTGCAGTTATTCCTCTTCATTCGCATGCTTTGTCTGTTACTGTGTTCAATGGATTGAACTTCTCTGAATGGCATGAACAAGTCCAGTTTCACTTAGGTGTGCTGGATCTTGACTTGGCTCTACTGAATGACAAATCTACTGCCATTACTAATAAGAGCAGTGAGGATGAGAAGTTCTTTCATAAATCATGGGAACGCTCTAACAGATTAAGCCTTATGTTCATGCGAATGATTGTTGCTAACAACATTAAGAGTACTATTCAACAAATAGAAAGTGTCAGGGAATACCTGAAGTTTGTGGAAGAATGTTTTCGTTCTACACTAATGGCTGAACTCACGACCATGAAGTTTGATGGGTCTCGTAGTATGCAAAATCATATCATTGAGATGACTAACATTGCAGCAAGACTTCGGACTTTGGGGATGAAAGTGGATGACACCTTCTTGGTTCAGTTTATTCTGAACTCATTTCCTCTTGAGTATGGACCATTCCAAATTAACTATAACACAATTAAGGATAAGTGGGATGTTAGTGAATTGTCGAGTATGCTTACTCAAGAGGAGTCAAGACTTAAGAAATAGGGAAGTCATTTCATTAACCTCATGGGTCAAGGAGATGGTAAAGGACTTAAAGTAAAGGCCAACAAGTTTAAGAAAAAGAAAGCACCTGCTAAAGTTCCACATGATGCTCATAAGGAACTCAAGGTTGATGTGTGTCGTTTCTGTAAAAAAGAAGGACACTATCAGAAAGATTGTCTGAAACGTAAAGCTTGGTTTGAAAAGAAAGGTACATTTAGTGCTTTTGTATGTTTCAAATGAAATTTAGTAGAAGTTCCTAATAATACTTGGTGGCTTGATTCTGGTGCAACTACTCATATATCCACTATGTTGTAGGGATTCACAACGATCCAAACTACAAATCCAAATAAGGATTACGTGTTCATGGGAAATCGCATGAACGCTCAAATTAAAGGCATAGGGACTTTTCGATTGATCTTGGAGACTGGACATCACCTTGATCTATTACAGACTCTTTATGTTCCTTCAGTTTCTAGGAATTTGATTTCCCTTTCAAGACTTGGGCTGTGTTTGGTATGAAGGAAAATGTTTTCCATGGAAAATGTTTTCCTAGAAAATGTTTTCCTGGAAAACAAGTTGATTTTTGACTTATTTTCTCATGTTTGGTTGGTGAGTAGAAAATATTTTCCGAAAAAGATTTTTAGTGTTTGATTTATGAATGATTTTTTTTTTTGAGAAATATCTTTTATTTTTACTAGGGTAGAAAATAATTTTTGAAATTGAAAATATTTTTTAAAAACATAACTTAAATTTTTTTGGGGGTGGGGTGGGGGGGGTGGTAGGGGGTGGGTTGAGGGTAGGGGTGAAAAATTGAATTTTTGAAGTTAAAAATATTTTTTAAAAACAAACTTAAATTTTTTGGGGGGGATGGGGCTGGTAGGGGTGGGTGGGGGGGTCGAGGGTTTGGGTGAAAAAATAAAATTTTGAAGTTGAAAATATTTTTTAAAAACAAACTTAATTTTTTTTGGGGGTGGTGAGGGGAGGGTGCTGGTAGGTGGTGCGTGGGGTGGGGTGAAAAAAATGAAATTTTAAAGTTGAAAATATTTTTTAAAAACAAACTTAAAAATTATTTTTTTTTGGGGTGGGGGGTGGGGGGCTGGGTAGGAGGTGGGTGGGGGGGTCAAGGGTAGGGTGAAAAAATGAAATTTTGAAGTTGAAAATATTTTTTAAAAACAAACTTAAAATTTTTTTTTGGGGGTGGGGTGGGGTGGGTGGGGGCTGGGTAGGAGGTGCGTGAGGGTGGGTAAAAAAAATGAATTTAAAAACAAGCTTTAAATTATTTTTTTTTTTGGGGGGGGGGGGGGGGGTTGGTTGGGGGGCTGGTGTGAGGGTAGGGACAAAATAAATTGATTTTTTCAACAATTTTTTTTTAATTGGAAGTTGGAAGAGAGTTTTGGAAAATGTTTTCCTTAAGTTTTGAAGGGAAGTCATTTTCCTTAAATTTGAGGAAAATGAGTTGATTTGGAAAACATTTTCCAAAACATTTAACCCAACCAAACATGAGAAAATTGGAAAACATTTTCCGGAAAATGTTTTCCTTCATACTAAACACACCCTTGATGTTTCTGGATTTGATTTTAAGTTTGGACATAGATGTTTCAATTTATATAAGAATACTATTTTTTATGGTTCTGGTGTTCTTATTGATGGTTTATATAGATTGAAACTCGATAATAATTTTTCTGAATCTCTGCTTACTATTCATCAAAATGTTGGAATTAAATGTAGTTCACTAAGTGAAAGTTCTGCTTATTTGTGACATAAACGTTTGGGTCATGTATCCAAAGAACGATTAAAAAGATCAATAAAGAATGAAATTCTTCTGAATTTGAATTTTGTTGATCTTGATATATGTTTGGATTGCATTAAAGGAAAGCAAACCAAACATATCAAGAAAGGTGCCACAAGGAGGACTCAACTTCTTGAAATTATACACAGTGATATTTGCGGACCCTTTGATGTTTCATCTTTTGGTGGAGAAAAATATTTTATCACCTTTATCGATGATTTTTCATGTTATGAATTTATCTATTTGTTGAAAGAAAAACCTCAAGCAGCGGACTCTCTCAAAGTGTACGTTAATGAGGTTGAAAGACAATTAGATAGAAAAGTGAAAATCATTAGGTCAGATAGAGGTGGTGAATCTTATGGAAAGTATAACGAATCCGAACAATGTCCAAATCCATTTGCAAAATTCCTTGAGAATGGTGAAGTTAGTGGGAGTGTTGAACGACAAAGTGTGGAAATTAATGAGGTAAGGGTAAATATTTCATTGCCCATGAATGTACCTACTTCCGCATCAATCACAAATGTTGTTCCTCTTGTTGAAGAATACTTTAACAATGTTGAACAACATTTGGGTGAAACACTTCAAAAAGGAACTAACTCGCAAGTATCTGACGCAAATGAACCACAAACAGTGCCATTAAGAAAATAGGCCATTTCAAATGATTTTGTGATTTATTTACAAGAGTGAGATTTTGACATCGAAATTAATAAAGATCCGGTTTCATTTTCACAGGCCATAAAAAGCACTGAGTCTAATAAATGGATTGATACTATAATGAAGAGTTAAAATCCATGGAATACAACAAAGTCTGGGATCATGTTCAATTACCAGAAAATTCTAAAAGAATCGGGTGTAGATCGGTCTTCAAGACCAAGCGCAATTCTAATGGTAAATATTGAATGATATAAAGCTAGACTTGTTGCCAAGGGATACACTAAAAAAGGAGACATTGATTATAAAGAGACCTTTTCACCGGTCTCAAAGAAAGACTCATTAAGAATTGTTTTGGCCTTGGTAGCTCATTATGATTTAGAGTTACATCAAATGGATGTGAAAACTATCTTTCTTAATGGAGACCTCGAGAAGGATGTTTATATGGACCAACCAGAGGGTTTCGAAATTAAAGAAAAAGATCAAATGGTGTGTAAGCTAAAGAAGTCAATATATTGACTCAAACAAGCCTCACGATAATGGTATATAAAGTTTAATGATACCATATTATCTTTTGGATTTAAGGAGATTACCGTTGATCGGTGTATATACCAAAAAATAACTGGGAGTAAGTTTATATTTTCAGTCCTATATGTTGATGACATTTTACTTGCTGCTAATGATTTAGGCATATTGCGTGAGATGAAAGACTTTCTCTCTATGAACTTTGAAATGAAAGATATGGATGAGACATCCTATGTGATAGGGATAGAAATATTTCGTGATAGATCACAAGAATTATTGGGACTGTCTCAAAAAGGTTATATCAAAAGAGTTCTAGAGAGATTTAACATGAACAATTAAGAATAGTTCCTATTAAAAAAAATGGGACAAATTTAATCTCATGCAATGCCCAAAGAATGATGTAGCACGAAACGAAATGAAATCAATTCCTTCATCTTCTATTGTTGGAAGTTTGATGTATGTTCAAACTTGCACAAGACCGGATATTAGTTTTGCGGTTGAAATGCTAGGAAGATATCAAAGTAATCCTGGAATGGATTAATGAAAGAGTTGCAAAGAAAGTTTGTGGCATGTTATAAAGCCACAATTCATGCATTATGGTTGCGGAACTTCATTTCAGGACTTGGGGTTGTCGACACCATTACCAAGCCGCTGAAAATTTATTGTGATAATGCTGCAACAATATTCTTCTCCAAGAACGATAAGCACTCCAAATGTGCCAAACATATGGAATTAAAATACTTTACTGTTAAGGAAGAAGTTCAGAAACAAAGAGTGTTACTTGAGAATATTAGAACTGATCTCATGATTGCAGATTTGTCAACAAAAGGCTTACAACCAAAGACATTTAAAGAACATGTTCAAAGAATGGGTCTTGGTTGTACTTATGATTGATACATTTATGATGTTTTACACTCTGAGCTCAAATTATGTGTTTATGATATACATTAATGAATTTCTTGTTTCTCATAATGGTGTATACATTATTGTCTTGAGATATTACAAGATAAGTCTCTATGAGACATTATTGTAGACCATAATGTTTTATGTTTTATAGCTTATGAACCTAGTATGATATGTTGCTAATGTAGTAGTATATGGAAGGAAGTATGTAGCTTAAAATTTATGATCAACCGCCATAACTCGCATTAGTAGTTTGTTATATTGTGGTATGTATGATGGACATTATAGAAGAGATTTATTGTATGCGCAACTAATGTTTATTAAATATTAATGTTATATGGTCATTGGGCCAAGTGGGAGAATGTAAGAATTATTATTAATTATTTCTTACTTCTGGCCCAAGTTTACTTGTAAACCAAGTAATACCATAAATAATATTTAATAAGGAATAGATCTAGTCCGTACATTGGTTACTTGATGGACGTATCAGATTAAGTCATAACCTCTATAAATTGGTCCTCCCTCCACCCATTAGGGTTACCACATATTCTCTACAATAATTCCATCGCTGACGGTTATGGTAACATAGTTAGGGCAAGGAGGTAGAAACCAATTTACGACTAACGCTTCCGCTTCTCTCTGTGATGATGTCTTCTGCATCAGATATGTGCCCCTAACAATCTCTATGTAAGATTATCGTGTTCAAGATCCTGAAAGTGTTTAATCTTACACCTTCTACTTGAGCCATAACCATATTATTCGAAATATTAATTTTGTAAATGTCTCTAATTCATTGCCTGTGAGGGCCATTTCCCTTCTTATCTTCAATAAAAAGTGTTTTACTTTATTGTCACTTTGAAAAACATCAAATTCACAAATACATGCCTACTGCTCACAATAAGCTTATAGTGGTTTAGACTTCAATGAGACATTACATAGGTTTAATCATTAATGCATTAGAAATAACATGTAGCAGACAATAACCAAAGGATTAGATTACTTAACTTATGCAATGTCGATATTTGAAGGGCAGCAATTTTGAATCATCCTTGTGACTCCAAACGTCGGAGTTGGACGACCACATAGTAATTAATCTCACAGTTGTGTTGTCACCGACAACTATGGCGCTAAAAAA